GTAATTAACACATGGTTACCGAGTTGATTCTCTGGGATGCGTTTTCATGATAATTGAATGTACGTAGAGTTTTATCTCTAAAAACTGTTTAGCTTATAACGCTAGTATATGGGGCATAGAATAAGCAAAAGTAAATCGCTAGTTAATAGCACTAACAAGGCTCAAAATAGCCCCACACTAACACGGTAGCATAATGAGAGTCTCTACATGCAAACCGAAGCATTGAGAACTTTGTAAGTGTACAGACAGTTTAATAAGAACAAGAAGTTACTTTATAAAGAAAGTACATTACGCGTATACAGGCAGGAGCCATCTTGGAAAACAGTCTCGACCAGTCGAGCCACGAACGCCGTGCTAAGTGAGATGAACTGTGACTTGGAATCTCAAAATAAGGTCCGTTGTTTCCGGAAGAAACTATTTTAATAAACAGATATAATTCATGCATTTCCATGTAATTAGTTTCACAAACGTAATTCCTATCGACCAGCTCACTTAGCACAGCGTTCGTGACTCATCACCTCTATGCCTTCCAGCGTTACCCCAGTCTGTAAAGGATCATCTGCTGAGCCACCTTCCGTGATGATCCTCAATGTGAGATGTTCCAGTTCCTTCCCATGAGTATATAAAAAAAAAAAAAAAAAAACATTTACTTCAACATCACTTGTTATTGTTCAGACTGTTGCAAAAAATACATTGCATTGAAACACAGAATGAGAAAGAAATGTACCTTTATATTTTAAAATAAAATAAATCTCTTACAGCCTCTTACATTTGCAACATTATAAATGTCTATACTGTCACGTTTTATCAATTTAATGCATACTTGCTGGATAAAAGTATTAATTTATTTTATTTCTTAAAAAAAAAAAGTTCTAATTGACCCAAAACTTTTAAATTGACTCAAAAAATATATTCAAATAGAAAACAGTTGTTTTAAATTGTAAAAAAAAAAAAAAAAATAATAATAATAAATCACAATATTACAGTTTTTGCTGTATTTTGGATCAAATAAATGAAGGCTTGGTGGGCAGAAGAGACTTGTTTTAAAAACATTAAACAATCTTACTGGTTGTGTGTGTGTGTGTGTGTGTGTGTGTGTGTGTGTGTGTGTGTGTGTGTGTGTGTGTGTGTGTGTGTGTGTGTGTGTGTGTGTGTGTGTGTGTGTGTGTGTGTGTGTGTGTGTGTGTGTGTGTGTGTGTGTGTGTGTGTGTGTGTGTGTGTGTGTGTGTGTGTGTGTATATACATTTTTTCTGGTTATCAAAAATCTATCTAAAAAGAAAAAAAAACAATAATTAAATGTTACAAATTAGTCCATTATTAAATGCCTATAAATATAAAAATGAGTCTATTAAATAATATCTATTAATTTAAACAAAACAGAAGTTAATTAATGAAGACTTTTGTCCAGAGGTTTTGAACGAATCTCTTCAAAACATTTTAACAGATCAGTCACTACTGGAATAGCCAAACAGTAAATAAAGATCTACAATCTTTGTTAGAAGCTAAACTTTTGCTTAAAGGGTATTTACTTATTTTGATAATAATTTTGAAGGTTTAATAGACAGGGTTGTAGCTGTCATTTAGGAATAATATTGTGTTTGAATCAAGATCGCCATTATTTAATGATAAATCGTGCACACGGAGCTGTAGCCAATGTGTTTTCGAATTTAATATTTGTATCTTAACGAACGTTACCACCCAGCTAACAATTTTATGTTCTGGGAACGTTCTGGGAACGTTAGTTTTTGGTTCCCAGATTGTTCTGGGAACGTTCCCAGAATGTTCCCTATTGGTTCTCCAGGAAAGTTTTCTTAACGTAAATAGAACATCCCCTTAAGGTTAGGGGAACGTTCCGGGCACCTATTCGGAAAATGAAACCTAAAAAAACCTACAGGGAACGTTCTGGGAATGTTCCCTTTAGGTTATAAAATAGAACCTAAAAAGAACCTACAGGGAACGTTCCTAGAACGTTCTCGTTTGGTTCCCAAAAAATAACCAAATGGGAACCAAATGGGAACCATACGAGAACGTTAGGGGAACGTTCTGTGTTTGCTGGGCAGTAGGCTAACCCGCGCCCAAGGCCTGACCCGCGGCTTTTTTTTAATCCGAAAACTCATAGCCTGCATATAATAAATGACAACTACATTTAGGCCTACTTAAAAAATACTCAAGTATAAGATACGTGCCAACTCGTTAATAAGGCCTACGAATTTATCCGTGGGGGAGAGCGCCGTCCGAATTGTCCTCTTATGGTGTGTTCAAATCGAACGCGAATAGAGCGTCAAATACGCGTCTATTGCGTCTAAAGCCATGTTTATACTCGACGCGTCCGCATGAGCGCGAGTCTCCGCTGACTGCGCGCGCACCTCTCCAAACGGACGAGGCGTTTATACTTGACGCGCTCGCCGTTGTGCTATTCTGTGAAACGACAGGGGGCGACTCGGAGTAATTCTCCTCTAAACCACCAGGAATCAGCAGTGAAGAAGTAGTTTGCCGTTTATTAGTAGTTTATTAATAGCTGATTCATATTAAAAGAGTAATAAATGCAGTAGGTGTATTGTACTTTCTTGTACAAACTCGTTAAACAACTGAAGCCTTATTGAAGAGTGTTAAAACCTTAATTTCATCAGCAGGGCTTACTTCTGCTATTGTAGGCTTATTTTATAAATGTAAGCAGTTACTTTAGACAAGTGCAAACTGGGTGCTTAATGCAAATATGTTCCTATTCACAAAATGAGAGGCTTTTATGGTCGCCCATCAATGCAAATGTCTCTGTGTATAGAAGGATCATAAACATGCTGGTACAGACGTACTAGTTCGGCCTGATTCGGCTCGAAGTCGTTCATCTTCGGATGCGGCACCGCGCGCGATGTTACAAAAAGTGCCGTGCACACCGCCAGGCGAAATGGAGTCTTGCGCACCCAACGCGCACGACCGCCCACATCGCAATTACGTCATTTTTGCCGCGTGCACCTTCGCGCTCTTGCGGACGCGTCGAGTATAAACAAGGCTTAAGACGCTTGAATCTGCTCGAGTTCAAATTTTTCAACTTGCGTGGAAGACGTTCGTGGCAAACGTGTCAACCAATTCGCGTCATTCACGACGCCCGGCGCGAATGATGCGTCTATTCGTGTCTTTGCATTGACTTTGTAATCTACTCGCGCAAATGATTAAATTCGCGTTCGGTGTGAACACACCATTAATGCATACGTGCCAACGTCATGGTCATATATTTCGAAAAACACAATAAATACTCTGACTACTATAAACACTTGGCACTTGATACATTCGATGGAAGCACACTCGCTTAATAATTCAAATATAGGCTACTCGCGTGCAAAGTCACTCATTTCATACATTAACATGTAGACTACATACGTGTTCGTAACACGTTTCTAATTGTTGATGCAAAATTCATAGCAATTCTGAAATTCAGTTAGTTTCTTGACCAAAAATGCAATAAACGATTGAGTGTACCTTAAGTTAAAAAAAAGTTAAGCTTACATCTTTTCAGCGTCTTCACATTTGTGCTTCACAAAATGGCTCCAATTTTTCGCTGGAAAGGCATCACGGGAAATTGCATATCACGTGGCTCGTATAGTTACTTAAAATGTTATTCTCGATTTACTTAATTTTGAAGCAATTATTACAGTAGTTGACATGACTTATGTTTTTTCATTTTATTTATGCATACATTTAAGTTCACCTAGTAACTTATATTTTTGTGTTACACACACTAAATATGTTAAGTAAAAGTTGAAAAGTTATGAATACTTAATTTTTTGTGTTTAATCTAATTACTTTTATAAGTAATGGTTGTTCAGCCAACGAATCGTTTTTTAGAGTATAGCTTGTATAAAAATAATTTCCAGAAAAGGACAATGTTGCAACAGTCGTTGTTTAGGCACCTTAAACGTGTACGTACAGTCTCTGAGTCATCGCTGCAACCAGGAGATGAAGGAGAGCTGAGATCCACATCACCTAGCACATCTTCGTCTCTGCCACCCCAGGATGCTAGTGCGACTAGCGCAACCAGCGCAGCTAGCGCGACCAGCACCGTTGCTAGGAGGGCGCCAGCGCCTCTGCCTCTCAGCGCCTTTGACTCGCGAGTGGATGATAGTCATGTGGATCTGTCTTCCGTGGATGAGCCCGCAACTCAACCAGTGCTGAAGTATCCGGTCACAGTGATAGGTGAGAAAACAAGGAGTTTATCCACAAACTGGTATAGCAGATACAATTTCCTTGAGTACAGCATAGGAAGGATGCAGTCTTCTGTAAGATGTGTAGGCACTTTGGTGATCGGGGCAGGGAGGAGAAGTTTAGCCAGACTGGATACCGGGACTGGAAGCACCTCAATCACGCTTGTTTAAAGCACCAGAATAGCAAATCGCACAGATCGCACAGATTTGCTTTGGATAAATTTAACAATTACAGGCTGTCAATGTCTCAGCGCGGCTCTGTCATCCATCAACTCAACAACACAGATGGTAGACAGTGTGAAATCATAGAGAGGAATCAGGAGCACATCAAAGTAATTCTGGACGTTCTGATTACTTGTGCCAAACAAGAAGTAGGCCTACCCCTGCGTGGCAACCGGGAGAATGAGGAGGTCAAAAACGCAGGTAATTTCCTGGAATTATATAGACTTGTCTGCAGGCATGACAAAGCAACTCAAGAGCGACTAGATGCGATCCCTAGCAATGCAAAGATGCTCAGTCACGAAATTCAGAATGACCTGTTGGATGCTGCGTGCACTCTCCTGTTGCGACGGATTAAACGTGAACTGCATGAGGGATCTTTCTATGCTATTTTAGCAGACTGGTGGCTGTTTGCTTTCGGTATGTGCACATGGGGACTGTGCGAGAACGCGCTGTTGGCCTCGTATCCACAGACAACATGACTGCTTATGCGATAGCACATAAAATATTAGAAGTTGTCGCACCTTTTGAACTAGACCCTATAGCCTTTGCGTTGGTTTTGGGTTTGATGGTGCATCGGTAATGGCTGGGCATAAGGGGGGTGTCCAAGCCATCCTTAAGGGCACCTTTCAAAACGCCATCTACGTGCACTGTCACTCTCATAGGTTAAACCTCGTCCTGTCAACTGTGGCCCGGACATCGCTGGATGCTTCTACTTTTTTCGACACTCTCAACACCTTGCACACCTTCATGTGCGGCAGCGAACGTCATGCCCGTTTCCTTAACGCGCAAAGAGAGATGCGGCCCGATCAGAGGTCATTGGAATTGAAGCGAGGGTGTGACACCAGGTGGGATTCAAGATCAGCCGCAGTGACAAAAGTTTTCATTCTGTATGATGTTATCGTGGAGGTGCTGGCACAGTATGCGGAAGACGGGGGACAGAGTGAGATTGAGGCACAGTCACTACTTCAGCAGATCAGAACAAAAAAGTTCATATTCCTCCTTGTACTTTTCAAACAATTGTTCAGTAAATCAGACTTCACATCTAAAAGCCTCCAGTCCATCGATACATCAGTGACAGACACGGTTGATTTGATCGAGAACCTCAAACAAGAACTGACAGACATTCGCTCCGGTGACTCTGCGTTCTCAAATATGTTAGCAACAACAAATAAGATGATGGAGGATCATGATGTCGAGAACTGGGATGTCATCACTTTGCCCCGCTCAAGAAAGCTCCCAGGCCGATTTGAGGGAAGTATTGTCACATGCACGTTGGGGAAATCGACAAGGGTGAGGGGTGATAGTGACCTGCGCAACATTTCCAACATGCTAATAGACTGCCAGCTTAATGAACTGAACACTCGATTCAACAGTGACACCTATGGCCTCATGGCATCTGCTGCAATCCTGATGTCCCCTAGCCTTGATACAAATGACACCAGCTTGGCCACTATAACGAAGTCTCTCAATGATACAGGGAAGCGCTCCCACGTAACCATATCAGAGTCAGAGCTTGACGTGTTTGTGCAACTCCTAGAGAGGAAGAAAAAAAGAGGAGAACATCTCAAAAGTCTTGTAGAAGTGATGGACATATGCAGTGGGGACGTTTTCCTGAATATCCATGCTTTCTTAAAAGCTCTGATAACACTGCCAATGACATCTTGTACAGTTGAACGCGTCTTTTCCAGTGTCAACCGGATTAAAACACCAAATAGGAGCACCATGCTTACTTCTCGCCTTATGTCCCTCTGTCTGTTGACCTTTGAGAGAGAGCTTACAGTAACTCTCGACTTCGATGAAATCATTGACATTTTCAAGAGCAAACCCCGCCGACTACTCCTGTAATTTCGGAAAGATAGGTAGTGTAACGCAAAGTTGAGATGTGGCTCAGAGGGGGGTAAAAAATAAATAAAATAGGTGTCGGAGGGAAAGATGCACGAAAGACGAGAGCGTAGCCTATTTTCCCCGTGTTTAGTAAAATTACTCAAACGTCACACTCGTCCACAAATATAAAATGAAAAGTAGGAAAAAAGAAAGAGTAGGCCTACAACGGTCGGTGGAGCGGTTATCTCCTCACCTTTCAAATCTATTAGGCTGACAGTCTACACATGCCAGTTCTCATTTTACCTCAGATTAACATAAAAGCAAAAGTGACCGTTACAGTAGCATGCCCTTTCCTACTGCTCTGATAAATAATTTGATTTGCAATGAATGAATATTCTTCTCATACTCTCTCTTCTTACCTTTCCTTCACGTTTGCCAATCTTTTAAGCCTGTCTGTTAGCGCAAAAATATGAGTGTCTTTTACTCAGTTGTTCCTCAGTTGTTATTTTTTTGGCCTAATTATTTTTTGGCTTCTGAAATGTTTTTTGATGTTGTTGTTGTTTTTCTGCAATGCAGATAACTTTGTTGATATTGTGATATTGTATAGGTTACATTTTAATACATCTTCTCTGTATAATAAGTAAGTCCGTTGTTAATGAAATCGAAAATAAATAGATGGACAGATGACGTTGTTAATGAACAAGTTCTGTTCCCGAATATTGATTGAAACGGTCGGGCAGTGTTGTTGATCTGTAATGTAGCATGTTGAAAACTTAAAACAATTAAGAAGAATTGTGAAATATTCGGCCTCATGTTATAGGAGCAGAACTAAACTATGTTTTGGGGAAATATTACATTCCTGACCTCTTTTACAGTCTAATATAGGCTATTATAGTTTAGATTATTTTTTTATAATATCCCATGAGTCCTAATAAATGCAATTTCAACTATTTCTAAAGTGCTTATTTTATAAAGAGCACCGCTTTTTCTTTTATCGGGAAACGCAGCCCAGGTATGATGCGTAATGGAGATTTCAAAGCGCTCTTCTTTGGTCAGAACCAAGGAGAGCGATCGCGGATAGGTCCGTCCTGACTCTATGCACCGGAACTTTTTAACAATGCAACAAAATATTTAAAGAGCATCAAGCTATTAAAATCTATATTATGTATAGCCTACGTACAGATCAGTCAGTAACTTTTATTAGGTTAAACAGTGATTGGATAACGTTTTTAATTTAACGTTTTTAATTTAAGGCCCACCCACAATTGGTCTGGCCCATCCAAACCTGAAATCCTGGCGCCGTGCCTGTTGCGTAGGGGAAACATCTACCACATAAGCTAACTATATTTACCTGTAATTATAGCTGTAATTAATTTCTGAAATATTACATATAATTATACCCTTCCCACACACCTGTGCCCATTCTTAAAAGGTTAGTCACCCAAAAATGAAAATTATGAAATTAATTACTCACCCTCATATGTGCCAAATCCGTAAAACTTTCGTTCATCTTTTTCTTTTTCTTTTTTGATTCTAAAGGAACCAATGAGGTTTGTATTTTGAAGATGAACGGAAGTCTTACGGGTTTGAAACGACATGAGGGTCAATAAAAAATTATGATAGAATTTTCATTTTCTGGGTGAACTATCCCTTTAAGATTTGTCACTGGAATTCACTTGAATTAAAGCAATAGTTTACCAATAAACAAGTAAACAATAAGTCATCGTTTACTCACCTTCATGACATTTCAAATATGTTAACACAGAGTGACAAAGAGACCAAAGTCATTTACTGAAACATTTCAAACATATTTGATTAAAATTGTAATGGTTTCCCTTTCTTTTTCTTTGTTTGTTTGTATTGATGTTATCACGGAACAGAAGATTGCAGATGAAGGTAAAATCTGAATGGAGTGTATTGAATGACAACGGTTATCAGCAGGTGAGTCTCTGGATTGCAGATAGTTCTGTTGATACTGGCATGTGAATGAAAGTCTTATCTTTTGTAGGTGACAGAGAGAAGTGACCAGAAAGAAGTGACCAGAGAGAAGTGACCGGAGATTGGCAGACGATGACGAACAAGAGACTGAAGATGATGAAGGATGAGACAGTTCGATAGGTTAGTTTTCCACAGGTAGGTATCAGGTATGAGTGTGTGAAGCAGACTTAGGCCCTGTTTACACGAAAACGATTCCGGGTGTAAACGTAATAATATTTTATCGGATGTGCCTTTCGTTTACACGGCGATGGCGTTTTTGGGGCTTAAAAACGCAAAAAAGTGAAACCACCCTCCAAAGTGGAAATCTTTAAAACGCTCCACCGTCGCGTTTCCGTCTAAACGGGTAAAACGCAAATCTGCTCATGGCGGCTCTCGCCGCGTACGCATTTACGTCACAGGCATGCGCCAGTACAGGAAAATAACAACCAACATGTCGGATTATTTCCATACGTCGGACCTTCAAGTTGCTCTCTGATAAACGTCCAAGAGTCTTTTCAATTTCGCGCTACTAGGGAGACAAGTAGAAGGAAGGTTGTACGCAGGCGCACGGACTTGTTGTTGTTGTGTGGCAGTGCTTCACATTGCCACCTAGCCGCCTGGAGTGCATACTACATCGCATTTCTAACACTTTTGCGTCTCCATATGCACGCAGATTTCCCCCCCATAACGCTCGTCTAAATGCAGAATAAAAAGTGAAAACGAAACGCCACAGCTGATGAAGGTGAATGATGGCAGGTGTGGATCATTGATAAGTTTGGGAGCCAGGAAGGATCATGGGAAATGTAGTGCAGTGACAGGACTAGTGACTGAGGATTGTGACAGATATAGGAGACAACCACCCACCAATTCAATTCTGAATTGCAAAATCAGTCTGATGATCTAGTTATGAACAATCTAGTTACATGCCAATGCATCATTAGCCTCATAAATACAGCAATCTCTGTAATTTGACAAGGACAACATGGGTCTATTTAGCTCTTTAACTTTTAACTGGGTCTCAAGATTGACCCAACCTCTCTTGGTGGGTCCTATGAAAGTGTTTTGGAACCCTTGTCCTAGTTATGAAGTGAAGTTACAGAATCATAGTCTTCCTGAGCTAAGAGTTTCAGAAAATAATTTGATCAGAGGCCAACTCTTTTTTCAGAGTATCAATTTCCTTGTTGTCTCAAGAATGTTTTACTCATAGCGTATTAATGGAAACCACAGTTAATGAAGGGGTTTCTCCTTAAATTTGAATTTCCTTCTTCCTTGTACACTGATCAGGCTGCCAAAACAGCTCTGATGCGTCGAGGCATGGACTTAACATGTCCTCCACAAGTCTGAATGTTTTATGTGATATCTGGCACAAAAACAATAGCAGCAGATCCTCTAAGTGCTGCAAGTTGCAAGGAGCGGTCTCCCTGGATCAGATTTGTTCAAATTTCTGTTCCCCAGGTAAACTATGAAAATGCACCTCATCCACCTGGTCTTAAAAAAACATGATTCATCAGATCAAACAACCTGCTTCCATTGCTCCATTGTCCAGTTCTGATGCTCAGGGTCTACAGCATTACAGTTGGCCCCTACCCCCGAATAAAAATGTCACTAGGCAGTTAGTCAGTACATATTTCAAATTGTGCTCGTGCATAAATTCAAATTGCATAACTTTAGAAACTTTTTTAATTTCTTCCTCGTTTTTCTAGATGAAAAGCCCTTGATAACCCCTACTGCTCTCTGTATGAACGCACAACAGGATCTATCAACTATAACCATAGTGACATTGACTAAAGTAAATATAATTTTAAAGTCTTAACACATTTGAAAAAGTCGAGGCGAATGTTCATTCGTCAAATGAACCGACAACAGCTTTAATACCTGAGTGAGAGCGAAGCATTTGAGTTGCGCCAAAGACTGGTAAAGTGTTATTCACTTTACCTTTCAGTGGTTTTAATGTGGCTGATCAGTGTATGTCTTGCATATGTCTTGCGTATTGCATACGCTCATTTGGTCTTTGTGTGCTGTTTGTCAACTACTGTAGTTCTTTCGCACGGACATCATTTTCTTATGCATATTGTGTGCATGATCATTAACCCCTAAACTAATGCCATTAGTTGCAAACAGAAATCTCTATAATGTCGCTGTATAGTGTGGCATTACAATATTTCTTTGCTGTAATTGTGTGTCTTAGTATAAACGGTTAATTAGAAGGGATTTACCACATTTGTTTAACCATGTAGTAATATATCCAGTAAGTCTTAAAATAAAATACTTGAAATACTTGACAAACTCTTTTCATCATCAAAGGGAGTGGAAAATTAAACTGAACATGGACAGGAAGATGATTTGTCTAAAGATAAATATAGATCACAGCAAAAAAACCAGTTTGAATAATAGCGTAGTGCTCCCTCCCATCTGATTATAAGGCTCTGGTCTGTTGTACATATGGTTAATCAACGGGTATTCCTGCCTTGCAAACATCACTATGGAAAACCAGCAGAGACATGAATTCAGGTAATCATTTTTTGTTTTTCATTTATCAAACTTAAATGAAATAATTAAAATTTAGATCTCCACAAACATTTAATTATGCAGCTAAATGCATATTTTCGCATTTAACATTTTTAATTATCCACTTTCTTCCAAATTGATTTCTTTATAAAGAACAATTAATTACCTATTCCTGGCATATAGTCCTTCAATCTCTCTAGCATGATAAATACCAACATTTTTTGTACATCTTTTAAATTTCTTGTTTAAGGGAACTTTAAATTTTCCATTAAGCTATTCCATTTTTTTCTTCCCAAACAGGCGATCTTGGGATGCGTGCAGAGAAGTGCCGATCATTCAAGATGAGCAGAAGCCAAATAAACGAGTGCAGTGTTTGAAATGGTTCTCGTGTGCCATTGTTGGCGTACTTGTCTTTGCCCTTACGCTGCTCAGTAAAGTGAGCTGCTTTATTAATCATTGGCTAATCATTTTTGGATGATAGGACAACAATTAACTTGTCTAATGAATATTACACAAAAGGCTTGGTTTGAATGAAACAATTTTTTTTCTTTACAGACATCATTTTTGCTTTTGATAACATTTGGGAACAATAAAACTGAGACTATATGTTCAGAAAAGAAGCCGGCCGCCCTACTTGGCATTGGCTTTGTTCTGGTTGGGCCGAGTGTTCTCCTTTTGCTAAAAAGCACATGGAAGTTCATTTTCAAGAGTGCAGTCATGCCCTCTAAAAAAACATTTTTTTGGGTAAGCAAACAGAGTTTTTGTTAAACAGATCTATAGAAGCAGAGAAACTGATTGTAATGGCAGTAACCATTCTGACTTTGTTTTGATCTTTGCTCTAGGTCCTGTGTGTTGAGTTCCTGGTAGCATTGGGAGCTGCAATTCTAACAATAGTAGCCATGCCACACTTTGACATTGTCACTAATGTGATGATCCTAAACAGTGTGAGCATCCTGTCAGCAGTGTTCCAGGTTGTCGCTGAGTACCTCGCCAAAGAGAGGAAGCGGCTTATAATCCCCGTATGCTCCATTTTCTTAATCATCCTGGGTTATGTGCTTTTTGTAGTCAGTTATCTGTCAATCGAAAGTTCCCCTCAGATAAGAATATCAATTGGCCTTGCCATCGTGGGGACCATCTGTGTTTCTGTGAACTGGTGGGAAAACTACAGCACGCTCTTCTCCATCTCAACTCTAGATGACATTTCCAAAGACATCGCTCAGTCCCGTAATGTGGTGTGCATCATCTCCAGTTTGATGAGAATCCTGATTACTTCAGCTGTGGTTGGAGCTTATGTTCCTCTGTCTGGTCAGAACTGGATATCGGTCAAATCCGTCTTCGAAACAGTTATCATTTCATTGGTTGCGCTCCAGATTTTATCCTCTGCGCTGTGCCACTGGTTTGTAGTTGTGGCTTGCAAGATGCACTCCCTGCACCGCAGCTTCGCCTTGCCCATTTACATGGCATCGATTGCAGTTTTGGCAGTGTTTTTGATTCCACTTGCGTTTAAACCCCCAGAGTTTAATCAAACTTCTACTTGTATTGAGAACATTCAGTCGAAATCCAGTGATACATTGTTGCGGTTGATGTTCAATGATGCTACAAAAACTCTACGTGCCAGGTACATTGGGGAAAAAATTAGAACAGAAGGACTAGCATTTTTGATCTGCTCTGCTCTGAGCTGGTGGTTGGGACTCATGCTCAGTACATTTTACATCTGGTTCCTGAAGTTCCATCGAATAGAAAGAACCCAAGATCTGTTCGTGCGACGCATGTATGAAGGAGCGTTTCTGGAACAGTCCATGTTGCTGAACATCCGTTTTGAAACCAGAAAGAGAATCAAGGAGAAACGGTGGTAAGTGTTTCAACTTTCTAAGTATGGTTGCATATTGTTAATATCAGCCAATATTAGAGATTTTTAAATTATCTGTATTGATGTTGAATATTTAATGGTGCATTCTTATTGTTTTTTACATTTATATTATCTGACTCTTACTTCATGTCCATCTATGAAAACACTAATAATTTAATAACACTGTTAAATGCAAAGAAATTAAATGACCATTTTCATACTGTAATGTTGTGATGCATAGTCACTTGTGTCATTAAAAACATTATTTTACTTTTTAGTGTTTTATTTTTAATACATTTAGACAAATTAGACAAACTTATCTTAATCAAAGTATTTTACACAGTAATGTGTTCCCATTAAAATTTACAAATGAGATTTTTTGAATGTGAAGACATCAGTGAGATTAAAAGGAGAGCAAATGGAGTTTTGCTAAAGTCTCCGGCTTCTCAAATGTTTCGTCTGACAGAAAGTACATGTATTTACATGTATCCCCTCTGAGAGTTTCAGCATCTCAGACGGTACACTTGCCAAAATATCAAAGTTTGCAATAGTAAACTCGAATAAAAAATAATTTTATTACATTCTTCCAAATCCAAATTATCACGGCTATGCCATGCACTGTAATTTTGTAGCTTTTTACTGTTACTGTATGTCAACTAACAATTGATTCACTTGCTTTACAAATGTTAGTAATTAAATTATATGTATCTGACCTCTGAGCAATTATTTGGATTTCTTGATATGTGTTCCTCAGCGCAAAAGAAACCATCAGAGTGTTTCTGTGTGCAACGATGTGGCATGAGACCTACGATGAAATGATGAAGATAATCATCTCTATGTTCAGGTAAACATACACTCATTCAGTCTCAATTGAATTGTACTTGTAATTGAATACTATTTCTTTTACTACCAGGCTCGATAAATACAGGCCCAAGACCAACAAACCAAGCGATGTCAAGTTTGAATTCCATATTTATTTTGATGACGCTTTCACGGATGTTGATAATGGAAGGCAGCGGCATGCAAATGAATACGCTGAAATTCTTGCGGATGTAATTAAAGAAGTTTACACGTAAGAATCTCCTTTATTTTGATCTGTTTATGGTTACTAAGAATTTATGGGAAAAACTAATCTAATAATACTTCACATGCATTAGTATTTTTAGTGAGGAGGATCCATGTATATTCAAGCAGACGCCACCACTACCAAGGCAGAAGATCATAAACACGCCCTATGGAGGTCGTCTGGAATACACCCTTCCTAAAGGCAATGTGATGATGGTTCACCTCAAAGACAAGCAACTTATTCGTCACAAAAAAAGATGGTCTCAGGTAAGGGTCATGCAGCTAAACACAGGTGCAGATGTTTTGCGCCCAGAACTTCACTAATCATCTGTGTTTGCAGATAATGTACTTGTATTACATTTTTGGTTGGAGACTTAACAGACAGTACTTCAAAATGTTTGAGGAAGGAGAAGGACTGGATGGCCTTAAGGAGAAACTGAAGGTTAGATGCTTAACTTTAAAATTCACAATAGTATTTCTACAGAATAATACAATATAAGCTAGACTCTGAATGTTTTTAATGCTCATTAGAGAGAGAAGGAGAACACGTATATCTTGGCCCTGGATGGGGATACTGATTTCCAGCCGTCCGCAGTCATGCTGTTAATTGACAGACTGAAACTCTACCCGGAGGTTGGGGCTGCCTGTGGCAGGATTCATCCAACAGGCACAGGTTGGATATATATATTAAGTATAAACCATTGTTATCAGGTCATTTTATTGTTTTTGATGCATTACTTTAAAATGTTCTAAATATCTAGAATACTCTACCATTCAAAAGTTTTGGTTCAGTAAGATTTTATTATTATCACCTGTTAACTTTAAGGAGTACACTACTATGGACTATATGAAGCTAATAGGCATTGACTAAAAGCTATAAAACTCTAATATGACTGTTTTACTGTATTTTTTATCAAATAAATGCAACCTTGGTGAGCATAAGAGACTTCTTTCAAAAACATTTTAAAAATCTTCCTGGAACCCAATCTTTTAAACGACAGATTCTAGAATGGTTTTCAAAGTATGAGGCAGAGGAAGTGTGAAGAATAATTAACCAGATAAAACTACTACTAATAAATTTAATTAGAAAAAGCTTACAACACGCTTGATATCAAGATAACAACCAAATATGTCTGAGCTGTATGTATCGTCTGTAGGGATAAAGCCAGTTATGATATCTATAATCATAGGTGGTATTTTCCACCAAATTCATCTGTCAATTGGTAGAAACTAGTCGCAAATATACATGCACTCATCCTTGAAAAACTCTGGAAACATCTACATTAAATATGGTACGATGTTTAACTATTTCGCCGCTTGATGACCATTGTAAAATCTGAGATCCACTCATCTATTCTAAAGAAATCTGCACTTGCAACTACTTATGTATACTATAGATTATAAAGGTGATTAACTGACTAAAAAGATATTATGCTTAAAGGGCCCATGGTGTGGTATCAGAAGTTTGAATATGCGGTAGGCCACTGGCTGCAAAAGACTGCAGAGCACGTGTTCGGCTGTGTACTGTGCAGCCCTGGATGTTTCAGTCTTTTCAGAGGAGCCGCACTCATGGACGACAACGTCATGAAGAGGTATACAACTAAAGCAAGTGAAGCCAGCCACTACGTCCAGTATGATCAAGGTAATGTCTACATGAAGCTAACCACATGACAAATAATTTCAATTCAGCCTGCATGGACTAAACAAATTCACCCTCTTTTTGGTGTAACGTCAGGCGAGGACCGCTGGTTATGCACTCTGCTTCTGCAGCAGGGGTGGAGGGTTGAGTATAATGCAGCATCTGATGCCTACACCAATGCGCCTCAGGATTTTAAAGAGTTCTACAACCAGCGCAGACGCTGGGGACCTTCTAGCATGGCCAACACCATCGACCTCTTGGGCTCAGGAGGACTGACCTCTCAGAGGAACAGCTCTATCTCAAAACTTTACATCTTGTACCAGGTTATCAGCATGGCAGCTTCAATCTTGGGCCCTGCCACCATCTGTCTCATGATATCAGGTAAGGTTTTGCTTGCATAGAAAAATTGACTGTAATTTATTTGCATTAGATTCATTTAGCTGTTTTATGGCCCAAAACAAAGTGCTTTTAAAGGGCTATTAAAGTGCTTTCTTTATCTTGCAGGAAGCTTTGTGTTCGTTTTGGAAATCAATGAAAATATTGCTCTTGCTTTGGCCATAGTGCCCCCTATTGTCTATCTCATCTTGTGCTACAAAGTGACATCTGACATGCAGATTAAAATTGCAGCAATTATGAGTGTGTTCTACGCATTTCTCATGACGGGAACAGTTCTCTCTATCATAGGTAACGGCTCTGTTTTTTTTCATGCGTAAAAAACTATTTAGAACATCAATATTTTTAGACTGCACATCATTTCTTTCCTCATCTCTACTCTCATAGGGGATTTAGTTAGGCAAAGAACTTTTCTGACCCCCAGTGGTCTGTTCCTCATCGGCATGGTGGGGTTGTACACCATTACGGCAGCTTTACACCCTCAGGAGTTCTCACTGGTCATCTATGGGTTGCTATACTTCCTCTGCATTCCCAGCGGGTATTTACTCTTGGCCATTTACTCTATGGTCAACATGAACAATGTCACGTGGGGCACTCGTGAAACCGGCGGCCAGGCTAAGACTACAGCAGTCGACACCATCAAGAAGAAGGTCATGAATGCCACATGTTGCAAATGTCCATGTTTGGAATCTGAAAAAGATTTGCGCAAGCAGATACTACCTGCAGAAACCATAACAGAAACTGAAAAGCCACACATTCCTTTGGAAACACAAAGGTAAAAAAAAACTACTACACTATAGCACAAATTCATATTGTATCATCCCATTTCTATCCACCTGTGTAGAAAAAAAAAATTCATTACTTTCAGATTACAGTGGATGTTTTTAATACTACTATCACTAATAATAATACTGTATTCCTACAATGTAGGGCAGAGGAGTTCCCCCTCAGTGCTCATCAAAGTAAGTATGACTTCCATACTTAATATCCTAATATTCTAGCTGTTGACTTATTGAATTAGATTTCGATTAAAATGGTTACATATTTTATTCCAAAAGCTTGGATTGAACATCTGCAGATGAAATCTTATGACTTTCCCTTGCATGAATCTCCACTTCCAATGGTAAGACGAATTGGAAGAAATTATATTATATTATAATATAATACAAAGTAAAACATTTTTTTTTTTTTTTTTGGCTTTGATAACTGGCCAAACTTTGTGCCCTTGGTTGCTGCAGATATGTCAGGTGCTGGTGCATAGTGTATAGACATACAATAAATTTACTGTTTCACCACATGCAGGATGAAATCGATTTCTGGAGAGAATTGCAAAAAAAATATCTAGAACCTCTTAAAGAGAATAAAGAACAACAGGAAAAAATCGCTAATGATCTGAGAGAACTTCGAAATAAGGTAAGCCTCGTAAGCTTGTCAATATGCAAAAATGTCTTTGTATGTGGTTTTGTCTATATGCTCTGGAACAGTAAAGTTTTGTCTCATGCTGTTTTGCTGTTCTCTTTCATTTAGGTTACATTTGCCTTTTTCTTCTGCAATGCACTTTGGATAGTGGCAACTTTCTTCCTTGTGGCAATTGGTGGCACAGTCTCCATAAAGATCCCCAAAATGTTTCCTGATGGGACTCTATCCCAAACAGAATCATTTTTCATTGATCCAATTGGACTGATGTTTCTACTGAGCTTTGCATTATTGCTGATAGTGCAATTTATTGCAATGCTATACCAAAGGTAACGAAACATGCACAAAATAATAAAATCACTATCAGTGATTCTTTTATATGGTTAAAATTGCCAGACCTTTTTGTTTTAGTGTTTCACTAAATCACAAAGTGGAGATCATACAATACATTATATATATATATATATATATATAATGTGAACCAGTCTGAAGATAAATCATTCCGTTTTATTCCTATTTTTAGTAATGGTGTATTATGTTCTTTTGTGTCAGAATCTACACATTAATCCATTTTGTGGCGTATGCTGGTACAGAAAATAAAGCTCGTAAAAAGCAGTCACATCAGGTGAGCCAATGGATCACACACTAAATTGCCATTTTAAATGTTTTTTTTATTTTTATTATTAACGATGTCCACGTTTCAATAGGTTGCACAGATCCAGGACTCAAACCCCCAGTATGAGACGCATGAGCCAGATACAGCCTTATGTTTTCAGAACCACTCTGTTTTGAGAAGAGCTGAGAGTTCACTATAAGGATTTGTATTTAATTCTAAAGGTTTATTGTCCTATAGATACTAATGTAGCATAACATTTTCTTATTTAGGAGAATTTAAAATCTAAAGAGTAAAAAATATGTCTGTCAATTAATGATTTTTATTGAGTTAATTACATTATATGCCAACTAATGATCAGATTAATCACAATCAATCACCGATACCGGGTAGTTTTTGCTAAATATTACATTATTTCTAACTACTAAAGCTTTGGATATATATGAACATTACTAGAAGTGACCTAGTACTTGTTAAATGAACAATCCTAAAAAAATGTTTCTTCGTACATATTAACTGTTGAGTGTATTTAAATAAAAATTATCTATTTTCTTTTGTAATCATCTCTCATTGTGACTTTGAATAGAAGTTCAGTTTGTGTGCATTCTTATTGGCTTTACTTTCTGAGAAGACGGGGAGTTTTGTGGCACTTGTTGGATATAATAATTGCTGGGCTACCATGTGTTTCTTTCTCTCTCTTTTTTTTAAACCGCTAGTAAGAAGAATTATTTTATTGTTTAATGTGGGTTGCAATAAATTACAAAAATATACTATTTATTTTATTTTATTTATTTAACAGGGACAATGCACAATATCTGTACTGTACCAGACTCAGCTAAAAGCTAATTCCCATCTGCAGTCCCTGGGCAGGTGCCAATAGCGTGCAAAATATTACTATAAAAAAACAAAACAAAAATATATATATATACCAAATATACCAAACCTCCCAAAACCATAATAAACACAACATCAATAATCCAAATACAAAAATAAACAAACTGTCATTACAAGAATTTTACCATACACACAGTAAAAAACATAATGACCACATTCAGTGTCTCATAGCTCAATGACTACAAACCTGATTGTCCTTCAACCATATTTTCACACTACCTTTACAATTTTTGAATGTACTGCATTCTCTGACACGGCATTATACTATGAATCCTTTAAAAATAAAACACTTATGGATCACAGTTTTATGCCATCGTTGATGTGACATATAAATGGTGCATTTAAATTAATGTATGAATTAACTATAGAAAGACTGATGTTAGCGTTACTTGTTAATGTTTAAATGCCAATTTGACATATAAATGAATTTATAAGTTATTAGCTTTCCTTACGATATTGATCCTCACAATGTTGGCCAAACACTGAAGGGTTGGTCAAAATCCCTTGCCTCTTCAAATACATATATAATCATATATCATTTTGAATGGTTATATACTTCCTTTATAAAAATCAATAATCAAATATATTCATTATCACATAATAATTTTTATATTCTTGTGCTTGTGAAATTATATTTTCTTAAATGCATGGATGCAAGTAACCAGTTTCTTTTAGGTGCATTCCAATCTTACTTTGAGATTGCACGTAGTACACGCAGGACACGAAGGCCACGTAACCCACAAGGCCGTTTGTCTCTTTCTCTGGGATCAGTAGAAAGGTTAGAGGGTCCTAAAGGCAGCGTGGGCACATATGATTCTTCGCTGGACATATGGTCAAGCTATATTGAGCGTTACTATCAAACTTGAATTGTTGTATTAAAATGTATTCTTTCCAGTATATTTCCTTCCTTGGGAGTAAATGCCAGTGATCTGTTTTTCTCCCAAACGAGTGAATGTTTTAGCAGTATGTTTTGGTATACTTAACTGATAATAAGGAGCTCAGACTCTCTTCAGCCTTGATGGGAGCTGTTATTTGCTAGTGTCTGTTATTTGTGTGTGTGTGCGTATGACATTCTATGTAGGTTCTGGACGGTCGGACCAGACACCCCGGCGCCCTTCTCTAACCTGCGAGGCCACCACAGGCCTAAATCCAATGAGTGGACGACAACTATCTTTACTAATGGCGATAGGCACCCCTATCTCCTCACATGTGTTAAATTGTTTAGGCTTTAATGTTTCTTAGCCAATGAGAATCATTCAACCTGTAAGCAATGACGTAGCTTAGACCTTGGAAATGGTATAACTGCTGTGATCTTTGTAACTGTAAGGGAGGCGGCCTACGAACTCCTGTGTGAGTCTTGAAGCTGGCTTCTGCTGATGAAAATGCAAACTATCTTCAGTAAAACTTTTCTTTAATTTTTTATAATTCTGACTCCGGGTCTTCATTCTTCATATCTGGTTCTGGGTCTTTGACTGTATACCCCTTACAGTTATGGTGGAGGATGCGCTGGCAATTATTCTCGGTGACACCCCTGGCAAATCAACAAACAAGGTAGTAAGCTTTTGTTAATTGTTAGGGCTGTCTGACTGGAAGAGATTTTGAAGGAGAGCGGGAGAGCTTCACTCCGATGAGGCGAGTGAAGCTTCACTCCGATGAGGCGAGTGAAGGAGTAAGTTAATTATACTGCTGACAGTATAAGAAGTCGCTGAGAGCGTCGTTAAGGGTAACGGCAGCAGACAGCGCAAGCGAAGCGTGCTCTGTGGGGGCCCCGCTGGGCATTACTGGTGTAGCACCACCCCAGCAGAGCACGTCCCTGGGCTAGAGGTCCAGTGGCACCGTAAACCTGCTCAATCTCTTCCATCTCAGATAGGGGATCCCCGAACTTAGTGAAGTGAATCAGGCAGTTAGGGATACTAACAATAACAGGGTTGTTTGCCAGGGATGCATCAGGAACGATTCCGAGAGAAAAATTAAAAAAGTTGTGACCCAAATTGGCATGGACCAGTATATGTAACTGTGATTTTGGAGTATACTTTGCAGTTTCATCACGCAGAAGCCAAGCTGTGTTGTTCAAAGATCGCCGCCTCCATTTCTGCAATAACTTCAGGTGAGTATGAACCATGATTAAGATATGGCAGAAAAATGTAATAACTTAATCAGTAACCTGAAGAGTCCTGAAACAAATAGTGAGACAGGAAAAGCAAACGCTGTAAGCAGCTGTGCTCTAAAGCCCTCACTTTAAATAAATTTGCAGAAATGATTAAGTAAATGGTAGTCAGGATTTTGATTCTGATTGGAAATTTAAACAACATGACTGGCTACAAACAAACAAAGAAACTGAAAAATTAAAATGTTTAGCCTCGTATTGCTTACGATGATTACAAGAAGCAAGTGAAAGAAATTCTGGGTCAGGGATAATTTCCCTCGACAAGCGACTAAAGTTAAACAGACACTTTGTGAAAACAACTTAGAATATTTTGCAGCTTATGAAAATTAATGTTCTGCCAATAATAATGATGAAGATTATGATTGGGTTATTATGATTAAATCCGCCACTGGTGGACTGTAAAAGAATACAGAGAACTGCTTAATCAGTGGCTCTGTTTACATTCCTGAATGGGACACACACTGCTTCAAGGGCGTGTAGTAAGTTGGAGCCGTTGAGGCTGACACATGAACCCTTTTGAAGAAAAGATCTATAATAGTAATTTTTATAAGTTGATGTAAAATTAATGACTCCAACAAATGTGAGTTGCAAAATATATCAAAGTAACTTAAAGGATGATTGTGTTGCAATTAAAATTTTTAAAAAGGTTTTAGATGATATAGAGAGACTAATCTCACAGATGATTTACA